AGCACCCCCTCCATGAGACCATTGACCCAGCACTGGGGGCAATCTGCAGTTGGATGCCTGGCCCTGAAGAGACCACGGAACACCAGGCTGCTGGCCACGCAACTCGGCAAGCAAGGCGTTGAAGTTCACAATGGTCTTCGTAAGAATGCTGGGCCGTGCGTCATGGCGAAGCTGAACTTGGTAGAGCGGTTGATCGCGCAAGGGCTCGAGCAAACCCGTCAAGAGCTTGCCCGCGTCAGAGCGATGTACTGCACCATTGAAGCCTCGATGGGGGCTTCTGAGGGTGCCCTGCAGCGGCCTTGGGTGACAGCTGCAAGGCTCGCAGGCCCGCAGCACTGGCCCTATGTCCCCCAGCAGCAGGTGTTTCCTTGAGGTTCTTGAAAACACTCTTTGGGGCCATGGCAGCAAGGCTTTCGGGCCGGAACAACGCCTATCTTGACAGCGCACTGCAGCCGCACGAAAAAGGCCGGGCAGTGAAGCACACAGTGCGAAAGGATGCACGTGCGGCCAGCTGGCCAAAGGTCTTTGGGAGGCTCTTGAACGACAGGCACTTGTGTTTCGATCGACTGCTCCACCAATAGCCTGGAATGTCTGAGCTCAGCACCAGGTGAAAGATCGTAGGCGCAACGGCAGCGACTGCTTTCTCAAACCGCTTGACCTGAGCAACGTGCCTGAGCAGAGCCAGGTATGTCTAATCAACTGCTTCCCCAACTAGCTTGACATCTGATCTCTGTGAAAGATCGGAGGCGCAGCCCACCTCTGACACCAGGTAAATCAGAGTTTAGCAACTCCTACGCAGTCATACTGTAGACTATCCGTCAGTACCCAGGCCAGGCAGTGCCCCTGCCTATCAGACCCGTCGCCCAGCGATTGACCAACCGCTCCACGAGGAGCTTGATGTCCCTGAGGTCAGCGCTGGGTGAAAGATCGTAGGCGATCCTCAGAAGCAGGAGGCCGACAGAAATAGCGCGACGCGTCTGCGATCAGCGCGTCGTCTCGAGGATGGGACGGTGACAAAAACATGAGCACCAGGTGAAAGATGTTGAAAGATGCTAATGAGCTGAGGACCGCGCAGAAGAGATCGGCAGCGCAGCAGGTTGCGAAAACAAAGAGTTGAACACGCATGTAGTCAATGCTGGTTGAAGCTTTGTCATGCAATGTAGTCTGTCGGCAGTGATGGTGATGCGCTGCAATGTTGATCCGCTAGATGCTGATTCTCACACAGCCACTGCTGAACACTGGAACCTCACGAAATATGCTTGTCAAACCGAGCAATGGATACACCGTACACAGTGGAAACGGACATCCCCAAATAACCCAAGTTTTTCGAAATGGAAACAGAAATCATCAGAAAACCTCAATAGTTACCCAATTAGTTACTGTAGAAATATAACAATACAAACGCGCAAGCATCCCATTATTTCGAGCCCAAACTATTTGGAAGTGGGCGTGCAAATCACAAATAATAAAACTATTTCGAGCGATTTCGCGGAGAATCGCCACATAATCAAATTAATTGAAAGTGAAACCCATTTCGGGAATCCCCAAATATTTTGAAAATTTAGGAAACCCCGCTGCCGGAATCCTCAAATAAGCGCAACATTTGGTACTACTTATGGACGTCCCAGAACATCAATGAGAATGTCAATTAGGCAAATTGAACATAGTCTTCGAGAAAAGTTCCCAAATTGTCGCGATATTTGGGCATTCTTCTTTTTGGTGTTAGTAACTATATAAGTTGTATGCACTTGACATTATCATTTGACACCTGTGCGATCTCCAAATGGTCTTCGCATCTTCATGTCCCACTTTAAAGCTCACCCTCACCCATGTGTCTAAATCTTCGTAGAAGGTTCACGCTTTTGAAAAACACCCTGAACTGTCGTGCGCTGTCAAGGCACTTATCAACTCTACCTCACAAGACTAGGCTCACTCACAGGGCTCAAACTTTTCTGCTTTCTTGGCTTCGTCTAAAGCGTGCATCAACCAATTTTGAGAGATTTTGATGTTGTTTTGGATCTACTTTACTCCTGTCCATGAACTTTGCCGCGTGACTTTTGACTATACCCATGTTTCACCAAGACGTTTCTGAAAATAAGGGAACTGTGGAGTTTTTTTGTTTCCACATGTTTTTTTCCCCAGATGGCGAAGCTATGGGGTTCTTGCTTCAAATAACACTGAGTTGCCCGCGCGCGCTTTCGAGACAGGTTGCTGGTGCTGGGTGCCGGTGGTGGTGCTGGTGCTGTGAGCTGGCTCTGCATGTGGTGGAGACAGGTTGCTGGTGCCGGTGCTGGTGCTGGGTGCCGGGTGCCGGTGTTGGTGCTGGTGCTGTGAGCTGGCTGTGCACGTGGTGGAGACAGGTTGCTGGTGCTGACAGGTTGCTGGTGCTGCTGGCTGTGAGACAGTGCCGGCGCTGGGTGCTGGCAGTGCGCGTGGTAGAGACAGCGGGCGCCGGCGCCGGCGCTGTGAGCTGGAGTGCGTGTGGTGGAGGCTGGGCGCCGGGCTGGGCGCTGGCTGTGCGTGTGGTGGAGACAGGGTGCCGGGTGCTGGGCGCCAGGTGGGTGCCGGGTGCTGGTGCTGGTGCTGGGTATACTAGTGCTGGGTGCTGGTGCTGGGCGCCGTGAGCTGGCGTGCCGGTGCTCGGTGCTGGTGCCCGCTTCTGACAGTGAAGTGATAACAACCGCCGCTTCTGACAGTGAAGGGTAACAAACCGCCGCTTGCAGCAGTGAAGGGCGACCAAGCGCCGCTTCTGACAATGAAGTGCCAGCAGTCATGGGCCGCATGAACACAAGCGACAACATCATCATACGGTGTTGTCGCTTGAGCATGCTTGAGCGTTCTTTGTCTATTAGCGCTGTGGGGTATTTACACTCTTCAGGCTCTGTTTTGGCCGACAGCTGTGTCAAGGGCTGTACTGTTTGCGCCCATACTTATTTTGTACATACAAAGTTCTATGCGCAACGTCAGGCTTTCAACCGACCATTGTTTCAGCGTGTTTGAGCATGCTACATACACAATATACACAATACTGCTTGACCTACGGGCTTTGCCGTTTGTGCGCATACTTTTGTGTGCGTAAACTTATACGCGCAAGATCATACGGCCGTATCGTTTTGCAGGTCGTTGCTTCAAGCATGCTACAAGGTCAATAGTGGCGGTGGTACTGCTTGGCCTTGGGCCAATGACTCTTACGGGCTTTGCTGATTGCGCGCATACTTTTGCGCGCATAAACTTATACGCGCAAGATCATACGTTGTTATTCCCCAAATAGGGATAGCTGTGGGGTTCTTGCTGCAAATAAGAATGAGCTGGCTGCGCACGCTTTTGAGGCGCTGGTGTTGTGGTCCTGGGTGCTGGTGCTGTGAGCTGGTTGAGCGCGCGTTTAAGACGGGCGGCGGCGCTGGTCGTGCTGGCGCCGCCGCTGGTGTTGTCAGCTGGCAAAGCGCAGCGGTGCTGAAGTCAGGTGGCAAAGCGCACCGGTGCTGGTGTCAGCGCGCAAAAAATCATGGAGGTGCCGTAAGCTGGCTGTGCAGGCTGCGTTCATTTTTGTTCCAGCCAGTTGTCAACAGGTCGTGGGATTCTGCCTGGCTATCTGGGTCTATGCTGGTGTAATTTGAGGTAAGTAGTACTGATAGAACTTTGGCAACTTTGTCATTTGTCATGAATGCCTTTGTGGAAATCTATCACTGTTGTTTGTATTGTTTGTTGTGACGGCTTCCGCGCTCGCGGAATGATTGTTCACGCAGGAAAATATGGTCAAAACCAGTTGGTTTTCAAGCTTGCGTGCGTTTTGTCCGCAGTGTTCAATTCTTCCCGCAACTTGGGTGCTGTGCCCAGACCTCTGCAAATTTGCAGACGCCATCCAACAACATTATCTTTGAAGTGGGCGTGGGCCGTCGAATCAAAACAACTGGCTGCGATGACGACTTTTGATTTGCTTTGAGCGGTGGGCTGCCAGCGCCCCCAAAAACGGAGCCCCAACCAATTGAAGGTCGCCGCGTTGTCATTCTCACTTAATTTGACTTTATTTAGGTGGCCTGAGCACCACACCTTCAAACACAGAACGGGTGCTGCAGGCCAACCCCAGGATGGGAAAGTGCACTGGCCAAGTACATTGGGGCATCGCATTCGAGGCATTGAAACCAAAGTGCAAAACTATAAAGAAGGTTGTCAGTTGCCTTACTGTACCCTAGAGGGGTCTAGAAAAATTTGTGCTAGATCACAGCAGTCAGTTGAAGGCAAGTTTAGGAGTTCATTGCAGTGCTACTTGTTGTATCATACGGTGGCTTGAAGAGCAGTTGTCATTGACGGCTACACGGCAAACAGATGCAAGCAGAAAGTTGTCAGTTTTTTATCCTTTGTGTTTTTCATGTCAAGGTACCAGGAAATCACGAACATTATAATATTGTAGCACATTTCTGTGCAAAATTGAGGTTGGCTAAGCACTCCAATGATCTGCCACTTCAATGATCTGGAACCTATATCAAACCTGATGACAATGATCCAATTCTTAGATGCGCGTTCCCAACCAACACACGCATACCAAAACTCTCTGGACCGGAGCACTGCTGGGCTCATGAATTCTTTCAGTGTGGGTTTTGCCTCTATATTTGTGAGCGCGTGCCAAATCCAATGTTGTAGTTGAGTAGATGAGTAGATCTGCCTGCTCGTGTTCATGTCCAACAAGAGTTATGAGGGCAAGAATTGCACTCACACCCATAAGAAAACGCGACATGTATTGGACAAGAGACATGCTGAGACGCACCTGCGCACCCACCACCAGAAACGCACTGAAGGAGAAACACCGCATTCAAAGGAAACAACGTACTCAAGCGAAGAAATGCATGTGCCCCAAAATGTGCGTGAACCCAACGCGTCTGGACGACTCAGCAAAAAACAAATTTGTGTGGTTGTTGGAAGAGAATTTAGAATGGGGGAATGCACGATTTGGAACAAAAATGTTCAGAGAGCGATCATTCTCTTGCGGGTTAATTGTGTCACGGTTTTCCAAGGAGAAACTTGAAATCAGAACGGGATGTGTGGAACATTTTGGGACAGGAAATGTATGTGCGGCTTACGCATGTGAGCAGAAACGCGCTCACGATCGCTCACGGTAAGAAGCGTGGTTACTTCTCCGGATGCTGGTCCCCTCCACTGCCAGAACGCGACGCAAAGGTAGCCCCTCCGTTCGACATTTTGCCAGGCTTTGCCATGTTTTTGCTTGCTTGCCATGTTTTTTGAAGCCCTTGCTGCCTACAAAGCAGGCAGAATGGTCGATTTCGCCGGGCGTTGAAGCTCCGACTGCGCCTTTTGAGTGCGCGCACTCGTCACGCTCCGCGCCTCGCCGCGTGGGCGCCGCCGCAACCATGGGACGGACGTGCTCGGAGCCAGTGTGCTAGGTCTGGCCTCACAACACGTGAGGAGTAGAGTAGGCCCCTAGGGATCCGTAGGGTCCTGGGACGTTGTGCCCCGTGAGTTGCCCAATGGAGGTTGGTAAGAACGCAGGCTGTTTTAGAGTGCATGTTTTCTTAGTGGTTTCAGGGTGGAACAAACAACGGCACGCAAATGCAAGGTCCTTGCTGCAAGGTGACCTTTGAAATTGAACACCGTCATGATCAATTGTGAGCGTATGTGTTGCAGCAGCCGTAGCATTTTGGCACGATGTGGTAACCATGATGTTTCGAAAATGCAACCCGATGCGTCCAGTTGGACCGACTTCTTGGACTGGTCGGGATCCAAAACTTTGGGTTGACAGTTGACAGTGCATTTGGGGGATGCGGCTCCAGGTGCGAGGCCCAGGGCATAGAAGCAGGCTTGAGAGAGACACTGTTGTTTTCTTTGGGGAGGGTGTTGTGTGCCAAGCGCTGTTGTTCTTGGTGGGTATGTGTTTATGTAATGAACCCACATTTCTTGCAAATCCTTTTAGCATTTATTTGTGAGCGCTAGATCTTGTTTCCATTGTCCAGATTTTCCTGTCAGTGTTGTTGCTAAGAAGATGATGCGTAGGATTGGATTGGGCGTAGAGCCATTGCTCAAAGCTCTGACCTGGGATTGTTCTGGTTGCAGCCACTGTTATGTGCAATGGCTTGGGGCCCTTCGGGGCACATGGACGATGGGATTTTGGTTGCTGTCCACTTTGGCTTGCTGGAAAGTGGCAGTGCGCAGGTAGCCTGCAAGTGTGCAAAGAAGATGGACGCGGCCGGTTTCTTCAGGCGTAGCTGGCAGGGTGCCTTTCCCATTCCAAGATTTTCAAAGTGGGAATCTTTGCCTCAGGCTTCCGCCAAGGTGGAGGCTGACCAACTTATCATGGTAGTGCCAGCGCATGCCATACTTGCAGAAGGGATGGGAACGGCGACCTACCAGGCCCGGCAGCAGTGAGAACCAAACAGTCACAGAAAGAGTGCCATTGTGCAGGCTTCTCACTGGATGCTTGGGATAGCCCACCGCTTGCTGGAGGAGGCCTTCGTGGGTTGAAACACTTGTGATCGGAAGGCCGCATCAATGAAGAGCATGAGAGGACTGTCTTGAAAATTCAGCTTTTGCGCGGCATCCTGAGTGAGTGAATACAAGTACAGTAATTATTAGTATTGACATGTATTGACAATTGGTTGTGGTATTGGCTGCCCAGAGCACATGAGCACATTTGCCAAGGCCATATGTACGGCTACTAATGGAAGGTGTGCGTTGCAATTCTTGGACCCAGCCTTGCAGTTCTTTTTTCGGGGTTTCCCTAGGTGAACCTCATGAATTCGACGCAATGGCTGCCCTTCCGGGATGTGTAGGGCCGTAACCTGATACAGCGTTGCTCATGACCACTTGCTTGGTGTTTTTTGTGACTCTGTTTGTTATGAGGTCCTTGGCCAGAGAACGAAAAAAACTTCGCTGCGCACACGTGTCTGAACTGGTCCGTGCCATGCCTGGTTGCGATCCTGAGCGCCCCGCACTCAGACTGATTCACCATGATTCATGCAGGAGAGTTATATTTCTAATGAATTCAATCGATTTGGCTGCCGTGAGCTGTCTGTGACAATCGCAGAAGCAAGGTGCAGCTCGAGCCCTGCACACGGTCGACACACGTACTGTGGCTTGGCTTTCGGTGTTGTGGAGACTCATGAGTTGGCAGGCCGTGGGTGCAACATTCTCCTTGCTTGTGCTGTTCAAACTTGCATGGCCGTTTTGACGAGCATACTTTAACGATCTTTAACGTATGTATCAAGAACTAATGAAGAAATTCCAAATTCCTTTGCACGAAGGAAACAATGAGAATGTCAATGTTGATATGAATGCCGCATTCTCTTGATATTAGACGAATAGAAACGGACGCAGTGTTTGCAAAATGAGAATCCGCATCAAACGTTTGGATTTCAATTAGGGTCGAGGTCGAGGCCTGCAAGCCGATTCCCCTCCGTTTCGGAAGCCTCAACTCCTCACAGCACCAAAGACTCTACAAGATCCAGCATTCAGAGCCTTCCGGGCAAATTTGGCTCGTACACCCACTGGACACGCGTGGCATGCACTCACGCAAAGCCAACCCTACTGGACGTGTTAGATACACAGCGGAGAGAGGATCCTCAATGTAGAGAAGCAAGACTGCAAGACAGCACCATGCGGAACAGGACCGCTCGTGTAGATGAATGAGACTTGCATATGAAGGTGTATTCTCATCCCGCACGAGTACGAGCACTTGTCAGGTGCTTGGAGTTCAAGTGGTTGGAATTCAAGGAGGGGTTGGCTTTCGGCGGATGATGAAGCTCAAGAAGTGCGCTTTGTCTGACATACTCAGGTTCCCCTTTTTGATTTTGCAAACCACAGTGCGAACCCGAATGCTCGGTGGATCATGGGCCCAGATCGAGCGTTGAGGCTGGAGTCTGGAGTTTCGGTGCACTGAAACCTTCGGAGGAACAAACTAGTAGCAACTAGCTACTAGTGTCTTCTTGTTCCTGGTAGTAAGGCCAAGAGCTACTAGTAGCGTCCTTGCTCCTCGTAGCGATGCCAGGAGCCCCTAGTAGCTTCTTGTTGCTAGTAAAGAATTTGATCATGCCAGGTTATATGCCACAAAGCCTGTTGACATTGGATGTGAGGCACGAATATCCATCACGCTACTGTGCCGAAAGATGCCGCCAACTTGGCAGGTGACCATCTCTTATGACAACATCTCGAATGGGCAGGGTGCTTAGAGAACATCACTGGCATTTGCAGATTCGTATCTATGAGGCGTTTGTTGGTGACTTACGGTTTCGTTCTGGAAGGCGATGGCCCTCACAGGTGGAAGTAGTCATGCCAAATACTGTAACTTGTGTTTGTGATATGGCCCACACCTGGTCCATTTTTGTTTGACAGTCTTGCAGGTGTGTAGACCTGAATGTTGGACCACTGCCCGAACAGGAGGGACCGCAGACAAGTCTCGCATCAAAGAACTGCTACGGATGCTTCGCACGTTTGAGGAGACACCCCTGCTGCAGACGTGCGCAGTACAGCTGCAAGTGCAACCCCCATCTCAGATTTTGATGAGAAAGCTAGATGCCCAACAGTGAATCCGATGCCATACAGTACCCAGGTTCTAGGGGGTGGCTGCTTGCGAAGACGTGCCGCAAACTTAGAAAAGGCTGACCTCATTGGGCCTTGGAAGATCTTGGAAGTGTATGACGCGCAGTGGCATTGAGGCAGCTTTGTTGCCAGTCCTCAACATGATTCGTGGGCATCAAGAGGGGGAAGTCTTGCTTGCAATGCATTTGCTTCAACAGGCACCCGTGATCACCCGCGCCAAGTCTTATGCCCATCATCGGCGTGTCCTGCGGAGGTGCAGGATGAGCTGCTCGAGTGGGAAGCTGCAGCTGCAGGGCCTTTCCAAGATGGCCGTTTCCAGGTCCTGTCCACGATGACAGTCCAGGTGTGCGTCGTAGAAAGACTTTGCGTTTCACTCAGCCCTCCCGAACATGTCCAGGTGCTCGGGAGCTTTCGGGACAAGCTCAAGGCTTGGCTGAAGGAGTGTCGACTCTTCTTGCCGGTTCAAAGTTGAAGTCAGACAGCTGCAAAATGGGCAGGATCCAGAGAAGGTGCCACTGATGAGTGCTTTGGGGCCAACTACTGAGGCATTGATCAGGGCATCACTGTCGGTACGCATCAACCTCCGCCATGGTTTTCCTTCATCGATCAAAGTGGGAGGCCCTTGGCCTTCATAGCGACAGCGATTCTTCTGAGGCTCAGGTTCTTGAGAAAAGCTTGCCATTTTTGAAGTTCTTTCCCTTGCCAGGTGACGGACTAATTGCCGAGCGAGCTGACCCACTGCGGCCGCAGGGTTTCCGGAAGGTACTTCATCTCCTCAAGCTGACGAGAACTTGCCACATGTCCCAGAGTGGACACTGTCCTGCGAACACAGCAGGACACCAGCGGATTGGGTTCGCCACCTCGGAGGGGACGAGACAATGTCCCAACATCGAGCGGGCAAGTGAAACGAAGATAAAAAGACAGCAAAAGCGATGCAAACACACGACAGTGCTTGGATCAGCTGCAAATACATGGTCGGGAGTCGGGCTGGCCATATATCAGCTTGGCTGACAATTTCTTGGCTCAAGGGACATCGTGTAAATAATACAGCAGCTTTTTTTGAGCCTTCCTGAGCCCACAGGGCCTCTTGGCAGAACCATTTTGTTGTGGACACTTGAGTGCAATTAAAGCATATTAAACAGACATATCTACTGTATATATATATATAATTGTCAACAAATGTTTATATTTGTGTTTGTTTGTCTATATTTATATGAGAAGACGGCTTGCTGCCTGCACCAAGGCACAAGGGCCCTTGAAGGAGTTGGGGCTATGGGAAGTTGCTGCAGCTGCTGCAGATCTTCAAAAGAGGAGGACAAAGCAAAGCGAAGCGAAGCAAGTCCCAGCCACTGCTTTTTCTTGCCTTCATCTACTGTAGATTTTTCAGGCTTTCTTCATGTTTCGGGGGTTAGGAGCAAGACCGAAAGTTCAAGAAAGGTGCGCTCCTTTTCTGACGTCCACCATCTACAAACTCATTTTGCTGTGTCTGATGTTCCATCAACACCCAGCCACAGATCTGTCGCGCCACTTGATAATTATCCACTAAGAATTGCGGTGAGCAGTGCCGGCATATGCCGCAGGTGGCGACAATGACCTTTCGAACGGTCCAATCACAAAGCGATCATGCACAGACTGGTGGTGCTTGATAGTCTTATTGGCAGCATGGGTGGCCTACATTGTGGTGACAGTGGCAGGACTCCCTTGGTTGATGCCACAACCAAGCTGCTAACTACCCCTGGAGTCTCAGTGAATGGAAGTCACTGCCTTTAGAAAGAGACGCATTGCCTTGTTTCTGATCGTAAGGGGTGGTTAAATCATGTTAAGTAAGGCAAGAATGGAAGTGTTCCTACGTGTGAAGGACTTCAAGATGGAGCGCCTGCCAAGCTCTACCTGCCGCGAGACTATAGTGGGGCCTATTGCAACTTTGAAGACAACTGGAATGGAGGGCCAAATCTCGCGGGTCAAAACCTCAGGAATTTAATGACAATGATGCAATTCGTCACACAAGGTTTACAGTACATAGCTTGTTGCTCTGATCTCGTTTTCTTTTGCTCTCGGGCGCAAGGCTTTGAGTACCTCAGCTACACCATGTTCCTTGGCTGCAGACAGTACAGAATCAGTGGTGCTTTATTGTTACAATATTGAGTGCACAGCAAGGTCCCAACTCAGCGCAGGAAGTTTATTTTCCAAATCATTTGTACCTAAGGAATGCAACTGCAACCACGGACGTGATTGTAAAGCAACTACTTTGCTCTAGTGCGGTGAGTGACTTCTTTCAAACTTTCTATGCCAGCAACCCCGCAACCTACCAAGAATACCTTTGCGACGCTTGGCTGCACTGCGCAGGACAAGGAAGCAGAAGCATCAGTTGTAGCTCACCTGCCTGGGCTCTAGCAAAAGCCACCTGGTTGAGGCATGCTGCCTATCACCTTGCGCAAAGTGTGAAGGACATACACATTTGACACACTCGTTTGATTCTTCTTGCATCTTTGGTTTGTTGTCGACATTCTACACATCTACTGGACGCAGGAAGCTTCGATGTTGGCGGTGACTTGACTTCGGGGAATCTGGAAAGCACCATGACCAACAAGCTGGCCCCGCGGTTGCAGATCATGGTGGTTCGGATGGGCATACCAATTCAGCTGTGCACACAGAAGCACGCGCACACAGATTGAACAGGCCTGAACAGATCACCTTGTAAGAAGAACCAGCCCCTATGAAGAGATTTTTGCACCCTGAAGTTGGCAAGAGGCTTAAGTCTACTGTAATCCTCTGAGGCACAACGACCATCCCCAAACGCGATACAACTTGCCAGGGCCGATCAAAGAAGAGACACGAATGCTATTCGTGCTGGCGAGAGTGGCACGTACACACATACAAGCACAGACAGAGTGCTTTCTTGTGGCCTTTTGTGATTGCCGCTTGGCCAAGGGTGAACTGAAAGGAGCGGCTAACCCCTCCGGGCTTTTCACTGGCGGGGGTGCCAATGGTGATGTCTTCTCCAACATGTGGCAGCTTGGCTTGGCAACTGGCAGGGCAAGGTAGGCTGCAGATTGGGCCACCAATGTTTCCTGCGAAAGGGGCACAGCCTCAGCCGAGAGGTCATAATCGTCAATCTTCTGAAAGAAGGTTTGACAGGGCATCATTTTTTCGTTCAAGGAGCGAAGCTACCAAGTACTTCAACTTGGTGTGCCTACCCTCCTGCAACGTCAACTTCGATTCCGTGAACAGCAGCACGGATTCTGCCATTCGAGTCTTGGGAGGCAAACATCGTCACTTGTTTGTCTTGGTAGATCGTTGACCCCACTTGCAGACAAAACGCTTGCACAAGCTGGCCGATCATCAAAGGAGAATGGACGTATACCATGTCTGATGACAGTGATATGAAGCCTTTCTGGGAAGATTTGAAGAGTTCCGGGCTCCATCCTCAAGTGATGAGTTGAAGATTCTGCTCTGCTTGCGAGTTCGTTTCTGCATTGTGGCGGTGGGCCCAGGCCAACCTATATTCGGGACACCATCACCAGTCAATTCAAATTCAAGGCATACAGTAATCGTTCAGTGAAGGGACCGTCTGCCATGCGTGGTAGTGAACTAGGGGCAGGCTCTTTCGCATTTGGATTTGAACATGATTGAACTTGCTCTGAAGTTGCTGTTGTCTAAGGCGCTTCCTTTGTCTATGTGCCCCTACAATGAATCCAAGTGCATACCATTTCCTGGTGTTGAGCCACACAGCTGCAACAACGTTTTGGTTGTCCGCTGCAACAACGTTCGAGCGCATGGCCAGTTAGAGCACTGTCACCATGTCACCTTTCAGACACTCCGAAGGTTTTCTGAGCTGTACTATGGCTACTGCAGCTTTTCCATGAGTCCTGCCCCTAGCTAGTGACAGCAACCGAGCTGAATACTATATAAATTGTTTAAACCACCCGTGGCACCCTGCACCAAGAGTAGGGAGCCAGAAGTCCATTTGCAACGAGCTGGGCCTACACTGCAGGAATAGTGATCGACCAGTGCAAGTGTGTGAATGTTCAACAAGGTAGAGCGGGCGGAGACGGGTTTGTCAGGTGCTGACGTGGTGAATGCCATGGGTACTGAAGCCACAAAAGTCCTGGAGAGCACTGGCCTGGCATCCTTCCAAGATAGCTCCACGGAGCGGGGCTTGGGAGTGTCCACTTGGGAGCCTTTGAGAGATGATAAGAACAGCACATATGAGCAATTCATATGCTTCGAATAAGCCTTTCATTCATAGCCACTTCCGAACTTCTCAAAAGGTTTGTTCTTTTGCATTGGACTTGAGACATCGACTTTGGGCAGGAGACTTTGGGGAAGTGGATGGGTGATTTCGAGAAATCTTTGCCTGCATACATTCTTGCCACTTGGCTTCCATATATTCAAGCAGCGGTAGTAGCGGTCTTTAGGTACCACTTTCATTCAAGCCAGCATTGAGCCATACAAGCAGTCATTTCAAATACAGTGTATTTTCCAAATTCGATCTAGCACCTGTGAGGTTGCCTTTCTGAGCTTTCTCGTTGGCTTCATTTTCATGGTGCTCCTTCGCTTTCTGATCGGGCCCTGCGTGTGGCACCTCGAGCGGCACACAGTTGAGCTGGTTTGGAGTTAAGATGTTGTCCGCAACTAGACTTGCAATGTTTATGTGCCAAAGCCTAATCCCAATCTCCAGGTTTGCAGTGTTTCTGGTGCTCCTCATGCTGGCAGTTGGCGGTGCTCTATGTTGGGTGCGCAGCAAGCAGTGTGCAGGCGGAACATTTTGCACGATCGCTGTCTCCATTTGAGTCCGTTTTTGAGTCCTTTGTTTGACAGGTGCTGGCTTGTTTGAAACCGGCCAGCAGGTTGCTGTTGCAGTTACGGCCCCTTGGATCACAATGGTGCTTTAATTTTTTTAGTTATTAGAATTGACCTGGAACTGGCACTGCCAAATGGGCAGGTGACAGCCACAACTGCCGCTAGCCAAGCCATCTCTGGACAGTCAGTGAGTGAAGAGATGACGGGAGAGCCCGGGTTGCAATTCATGTTGATGGTCCAATCTTTATCCCGTCTCTCAATTGAATCTTTGGATGCTAGGCCTCTGAAGCCAAGGATGGGGCGGACTATCGAGGTGTGCAGGGCCGAACAAAGAACGGGCTTCTGTGCGAAAAGTGGGGAGAAGGTCATGTCCTCGGAACTGTGCGTCAAGTGATCCGACAGTAACATGCGTTAGCAGCTAGCAGCAGCTGTAAGCATATGCGCACACATAATTCTATGTGTGCATATGTATATTGTATAGTTAATACGTATATATAAATTTGTACGCACATGCACGGACCGCATATATGTTTATTTGAATTCGCACTCTCTGGCATGGCATGGCTGTTGTCTGCTCAGTGTTGATAAGGCAATGCCGCTGCCTACACCACAGCTGCATACCCCAACTCAGGCTGAAGCCTTAGGTTGCTTATGCAGAGTGACTTTGCCCTGGTGTGACTGGTTCAACTAGCTCGGTGATCAGGCCTGGACAACAATTTCTGTCGCAATCCTTACAATCCCAGCGATGTGAACAAAGCAGCGACCATTTGGTGTTTCACCACTGATACGAGCATCAAGTGGCAAACTTGCACGCCGGTGGGAATCATTACTCCAGCCACTTGGCAGTGAGGTAGTAGTGAGGTGTTTTTTCTGACATTTGGAAGCTTCAAAGTAGCAAGCACCTCCGAGGAATGTACAGATGGCTATGCCATCACAAACAATGAAGTGAGAGTGGTTTTGGAAATATGCGGATATATTCTTTGGGTTCTGGCCGGAATCTATGTAATCCTTGTATGCTGCCTCTTAGACAGGACTGGGCCGGGTTCGATTCGTTGTTCATGCATGGAAGAACCTGCTTTCTCGTCCCTGCAGGATTCGCCTAGCTATCGCAGTCAACAAGGTTGCGGCAATCTTTGTCAAAGACACGCCAAGGTGAAACGGCTACAGTTGTGCGGTTTTCGTTAGCCAGCGGTTTTTGCAAGAAAGCTTGCTACACTATTATATAGTGCAGCTCTCCCTTTAGGATCCTTTTGGTGCCTGCCATCCAAGCACTCGTCGGAATCCTTTGGATATTGGTGTGGGCGCTTTCTGCAAGCTTCTTGCTTTCTCAAGTTCCTGATGGATACACTCCGAAGGCATGGAATTGTAGAGAGCTCAAGGAAAACACAGTAGATCCAGTGGCCTGAGTCGATAGAGACATGGTAGCCTATGTGGACAAGTCATGATGGCCTAATCTGTGCAGGGTGCCTACCACACCTACGACGAGGCTGCTGGAACTGCCACTCAGCTTCCTGTACTTCCCTCTGGCTCTGTCCTTTGGTATTTGGGGGCGCTGCCTCAGCGTTTGTTGCATTTCTAATGTCCCCATCAAGACGACGTTATGTCCGGGTATGTGCAAGGTGATAAAGAGGGGAACATGTAGGAAGGCTCAAAAGTTCATCTATGCGTGATTGACACAAGCAAGAGGAATTTCAAGTGGACATAGGTCCAGGAAGAACGAGGAGAGGCAAACGCCCAGAATTTGGGTTCAAGTGGAAGACCGTAGGGATGACAGTGGAGACTTGGATTTTTGAAGTAGCAGTGCTATTCAGGAGCTTGAGCAGAGGTGGAGCAAATTGTGGAGAGGTCAATCTCCTTAGTGGTTGTGAGGCACGGCTAATGAGTGCTTCGGTCAACATGTAAATATGGACCAACCTGCCCCAACTCTATTTTTTTTGGTCTATGTCATGGCAGCTTAGTTCTCCGGACAATGTCGTGAGAGGTGTACATCCCTCCGCACTGGTGGTGACCAAAGCGCCCTTGCTCAGGCAACGACACCTGGCGCATGCACCGACAAATGGCCGACCGGAAGCGTGTACAAGTCTGAGAGCTGCTCCTTGGATGCCTGCCAGAAATCTCTCATCCGAACCACTCAGAGGTCCCCCCAAAAAGTACATAAGTTTGACAAGTTCCAAGTCAATTCTAAAGGAATCTTACTTTTCTATCCAATTTGGGGGAATTGGTGTTTAGTTGACAGGTGAGCTTGTCAATGGCACCTACGCATGTTGGAGATGCTCGCCTCCGCGTTATGTCTTTGATTGGCGATTTGCAGCTTCTCGCCTGCACAGTCACAGTTGAAGGATGTCAAGGTTCATGTCACTGTGACTCAGGTCTCTTTCTTCGTGTTCTTGTGGAACAATGCTACCACCTTAGAGCGGGCTTGGATAATTACGTTGGTGTCAAGGCACATTGAACTTTGGAACTGTTTCCGTCGCCAGCCAGAGCTGCTGAGGCCCTGAACATTGCGATTGGACAATGCTTGATTGCTGGAGCCGTGGGGGTATGGTTCTTTACCAGCAATTCTCAGAAAGGAACACGGCGAGTGGCCCGGCTACAGGTGACAGATCCAACAGCCAACATTGTTGGATAGACTTTTCTGCCTTGCATTTTTAGGATTGCATTTTTGTTCCTCCCTTTGTGCCGGAAAGGAAAGTGCCAAAGAAGTTAAGGATTGCATTTACCAACTGCACCGTTTTGATTTCATGTCTGGATTGAGTTGCGCTGTGGACCGAGGTGATTGCGCAATCCACTTGGCACCTCGGCTTAGTCGAACGCGGAGTAGTAGCTGTGGATGTCTTGGCACTCCAACGTACCGCAACTGTCTCCAGGAATGTCTTTCGCTACCATTTGGGGTCTTTGGCATTTGGTTCCTTTATCATTGCGGTGATTCAGTTCATCAGGGCTCTCATGAAGTACTATGAGCTGCTTTGTTGCACAGTTAATCATTTTGCACATCCAGCATTCTCTGGCTCCATTTGTGCCGGGATCGCCGTTTGAGGAAGCAAGCCAAAGCAGTAAAGAACCGGGTGCTTGTTCTTGTCCTGAAAATTTGTGGCTGCATCATCTGGTGCTTTGAAAAGTGCGTTGGCTGCCCAGACCTTCCTGTAAGAAGCAAAATGGCCGTTTGTCACAAGGCACTCGACTCATTTCTATTTCGCATTTCACGCTCTTAGGTCAAGTTCCTGAACAAGACTCTTGTCCTTGCCTGACTAAGAAATTAAACACAGCAAAGCTTTTGGCTCACATTTGTGGCACGCTCGAGCAGTGCAAGCAGGGTTGAGGGTCATTCTGCCAAGGAATGCTTACATCCAGATTGCTTTGATGGGAACCAACTTTTGCACATCCGCTAAGAAAGCATTCTTTTTGATCTTGCGAAACATGTTCCGGTTTGGAACTGTTGCGATCCTTGGAGCAGCTTGGCCGGAGCTGTGTGCTTCCTCGTCCTTTGATGCATTTGCTCCTTGAGTTTTGGGGCGTAGTGAGCTTGAAGTGTATATATATATATATGTATAAATGGTTGTGCTCCCAGCTCGGAAAAGCGCAGCTTTGTAATTGTGGAAGTGCTTCTAATCATCTTCTATTTTGCCTTGAGGCCATGATCAATGTTATCGGATTTCTTTTCATCATCGCTGTGAGTGTTGCACTGGGCTATGTCATCCTGACCGGGATTTACCCTGAAGTTGCACCTGCTGTAAGCCTGGTCATCTACGGCGTCACCGCTTACGTGGTTCATGGCTCAGTTTCGCTTATTTGAGATGAAGTTGTCGCGATCGTTGCACCATTGCTGTCCCAAGGTTGCGAAGCTTTTCATGATACTTGTCCCGGCACATGGAAGGATGTGGAAGGCTATCAAAGCATTTCAACACCAAAGTAAGGTGACTGATGCATCCCCTTTGCGACATGTTTTCCGAGGAACGTCTTTGGCCTTGCAGTTGACACCACTTTGCAGTGCTTCCTCGCTTGTGAGGCAGGTCACATGTCGTGTCCAGGAGCACCACCGCCGTGTTTGCATCCTGAGGAAATGGACCTTCAGGGTGACTTTGTACCCTCTTCCATGGGCAGATGGCTTCTTGTTTGCGACTTCCCATGGTTGGTCTTCTTCTTCTTCTTCTTGTCTGTCCAAGTTCTGCTTGCTGAGAAAGGTGCTCGTCACCATACCAAGGTTGGACAAGTCCAAGCCGATAGGTGGTGATGAGGATGACGACTGAGCTCAACCGCTTTCTCAACTGCTTCCTCCTTTTGAGAAGGAGAAGGTTGTTCGAGTAAGCGCTTTTGTGATGTACATGCATGCTGGGGTTGCCCCCTGGTATTTCAAGTTGAGCGGGGTGTCCAAGTGCACTGGAACATTAAAGGCATATACTGCACATAGCATACACACATATTCATGTATTCTTCAGGTGTTGGAGTTGATTTCATGAATTGGCCCATTATGTACTTGGACCCCTGTTTGCGGACCAGTCAGAAATGCAAAGCAGATGATCTGACGACAGGTTGTTTCAGCACAGTCTTACAGACTCTTTCGTTTTTACTGGAGCATGACTCAACGCGGAGTCGCACAACGACCTCACCTTGCGCTCCAACAGCAGAGTTCTCTTGTGAGCGGGAGGGGTGAGGGTCTTTTCACTTGCGATTTGTGCTGGGCATTAACAGCGGCATAACTCACTAGCACGAGCACATCTGAAGGACACAGCAGTTTCCATCCACTTGCAGACAGTCACTCAGCTGCAAACATTGGCTAAGCTACCAATTGCACTTGTGTAGAGGCCTCACTCAGCAGGAGCGGGCCATGTTTCATTGGCAGCCCGAAAAGGGATTGTCGATATTTGGACTGAAGATGAGCCCAATATCGATAAAACGAGAGGCTGTTGAGAATCGACCGAAATGCTCCTGCTGTGACGAGTTTGCAGTCAAAGAAACACTGTGCAACAATGTTCCGAGGAAGGCTCAAATTGCAGCACAATTTTCCATCCTTTGATTTGTTTATGACATCTCCCCGTTGTGGGAGCTCCGTTTGCCACGGTCCCACACCAAGCTTTTTAAAGCCGAGAGCGTCCTTGAATTTGGCCGATCGCCCGTCGAGATGTTTGCCCAAGGCCTTTTGTTGCTGCTCTGTAGATCGGGTCGGTTCCTCAGTTTTCATTCTAAAAGCTGCTAATAGCTTCTTGTTACTACTAGTAAGGCACGTTACTAGAAGCGATGCACTTGTTGCCAATAGCTTCTTGTAAGCTACAATTTCTATTTCACTCAAACCATCTCAAACCCATGGGCTTCTTTCCACATCTTCAGCAGGCTCAGCCCGACACACTGCCCAACCCACAGGAAGTGATGCTGTCGACTTGTGCAAAATTCTGGGCTACTGTAACTTTCGGCAGGACAACGCTGAAAAGAAAAGTGGGAAAGCGCAGCTTGGCATATGGCAAATTGGATAAGTTGGGTAGGCTCGGATAGGTCTTCCTGGATACGTCCGAATTCCTGGCACTCAAGGAAAAAGAAGAAAGGAAAAGACGGGAAAGAGGACAAGGCCGACAAAGGAAAGCGGACTGTTGGCTGGAAACAGGCGGCGGGCCCACGCAAGAGCTTCTCACATCTTGTTCATCCTGATCAGATGAGTTGACAGCTACTAGTAACAAGTGCATCGCTACTAGTTACTAGTAGCAAGAAGCTACTAGTAACAAGGACGTCCAAATAGGGTTGAGATTGGGCAGGATGATGAGAGCGATGCAAAGGAGGAGAAAAGCGGACCTGCTGAAGTGAAGAACGGGAAAGAGACAGGGAAGACGGAGAAGAGAACGGAGAAGACAGATGAGGCGACAGAGAAGAGAACGGCGTCAAAGAAAACATCGGATGGCAAGCCTGGCAAAGCCAAGCCCAATGCCGAGAATACCAGCTCAGAGAGAGCTGAACAAGAAGAAGTAGATAAGAAAGATGTAGACGGCAAAAAACCGAGTGATGAGTTCGTTGGTCACGGTCTCAGGTTTTGTCAAAGTGCCAACACATGCCCCGGGGGTTTGCTTTTGCTTTGCATCAGAACTGGCCACTGCTGTAGGCAAGTTCCATTCCGCGCTACGTTTGGCCCTTGGGCATGCCATGTGCCATTCTGCATTGGGGTGTGCGTTGGCAGACAGCCAAGGCTGGGGCAAGTCCAGGAATGAGGCCCTGCCACATTGACATGCCACGTCGAGTCGGCCATGAACTATTGTCCGCACGTCCCAGCCCTTCCTTGTTCTAGGGCAGTGCGCACTTATTCCTTAATTACGAGCTGTTACTGTTACATGCTCTTATGCAATTACCTTTCGGGCAGGTGCAAGCATTGGTGAAGGATGCGGACGTGACTGAAGCTCAGCTTTGCAAGGAGTTTGCCAGGGACTCCTATTCATTCCCTATTCATTCATGAGGTCCAAAGGTGCTGCGGCCAGTCCGGCTCACAGACTTGCATGTTTTGTTGGTAGAGGTCAACTCAGCACGTATCAGCATATGCCGCATGAGGGGCGCCAGATCCAAAGACCGGCAACCAAGCTTTGCACATTTCGGTGCAGAATGGCAACAGCCTGAGCCGCATTTCTGGAGTAAAACCATAGCATCGTGGGCTGTGATCCAAGTCTGTGGAAAAAGCGGAGAGGGGACCCACAGCGAGGCCACCGTGAACTGACAGAGATGCTGATCAGTTGGAAGGCTGATGTCGGGGACTTGATGCAGCTCGAGGGCCTGTGTCGTTGGCCAGGAACGAATTGTTATGAACTGCCCACACACACACACACATACTTGTACATACATAATCACACACACATACATATATATTACTTTTTTACTGTATATACATGTATAAATATATTCAGTTGTTTGGATAATATACTGTATAAGCACCATCACCACATATTCAAGTAGCTCCCGGATATCGGATCTGGAGGCAAACTAGCTCAGAAATTGGCCTAACATCACCTGCAGGTCATTGCACCACAATCGCTGTGTATCACCTGCCGATGGAGGCTTACAGGATCCGTCACTGTAGACCTCAGCGTGACCCAGCGATGCTTGAGAAGGAGTAGCTACGGGAGAAGAAGTGACCATACGTGCTTTTCACTAGAGTCAGTGACGAGGAACTGAGAGCATATGTCCACCGGCTTCTGGGCACAATGTACTCGTCATCAATGCCTCACTTCTGCTCGCCACGCCAAAATCTATGTGATGTGCAAGTTCCAAATTGCCAAAGTGCACAGTTCCATCAAAGTACAGCAATAGGGCATGGCAAGAAGGCATTGCAAAAATCCAGCAAAAAGCACCAGTAAAACCTTATTTGGAAGTCGCCCTGTTTGATTGGCCAAAAATAAGGTCACGTCGCAGAACTTCAAAGGACAGACCCCATTGCACATGAGTGTTGAGCCTTGACCTTGGACATGTTCAGATGTTGACCCTTACTGTCAAGTCTGGATGCCGCCCTTAGGTACGATTTTTATTTCATCTCCAAGCTGCTGCTAGAGAAGGGCGCTAAGCGGGAGGCGTGCATGAACCCACACGATTAAGTAGCAATGCCAACTGAGTCTTCGCTACTAGCGATACATCACATTTCACAGCTTTCACTACCAAATGGGGGCGTGGAGGTAGAAAATGCTGACGGCTGCAAAGCTATTTTGGGCATCAGCGGTGGCAAAGAAGGGGCAGAGGCCGCAGCGCCACAGCTTGATTCGGAAGCGGAGACAAGATGTGGGAACGCCATTGGAAAGATCATGAGTGCCTGGCAGGCCTGGGATGCGCCGACCAACATCCTGAAGAATGCCAGCAACAAAGAGGCCGTTCTGTATGTGAAGAAAACAGAATCCGTGCACAGAAACATTTTCCTCTGTTTACCTGGTTTACTCACCTCTCCAAGGAGTTGAATGAGGCCTTGGAAGCCTTGGAATCAGCTGGGGCCTTAGCTTCAAAGCGGTCCCAGGATACCCATGTATACCTGATACTTAAGCTTGGAGCGTGGATGCTTTTTTGGAACTTTTAGCGGACAAGGATCCTTCCAGCCTTGACAAAGCAAGCTTGGCGAGGGTGGGAATGCTGAAGGCCTGCGCCTGGCGCGCCAGGAGTTGCCATGAGATCGTCGCATCTCGAAGCTTTGTCACATCCAGGCCAAGGAAATGAAAGAAGCCTGGGACAAGCCCAGGTTCATGGAAATTCTGAACAAGGCCAGTGGTTGAGCCTGTCAGTGGTTGAGTTTGGTGGGCTGAGCAAGACTTTCTGAATCTGAGGTGAATTGAAGTGACGCAGAAGGTCACTGGAATAGACAGTGTTGCAATTGTGTCTCTTAGCTTACACAGCTGCAAACGCAGCTTGTGGACACAATGTCAGTCGATCCTGGAAAGGAGATCAACTGTGCTTCTGCGAATTTCTGGCCCACATCCCATTAAACATCTGAAACAACAAGCAGAACATGCCGTGCATGGATTGAGCCTTGCAGCCTTGTCCACAGCCATTCAGTCTCTCGGACTAGACAGCTATATCAAAGTCGCTAGAGTAAAACTGTTTGAGATCCGGGACATATCAGATCAGGCCGGCTTTTTTCAAAAAGCTTATAGAGAAAGTGCCAGGAAGCGTGCTTGGACCCGCCTTCAACGCCATGGCGCCAACAGAAGGCCTTCGCTTTTCTGTTGGCGATCGGGTCTCTTGTAACATGGGCTCTGACGGCTGGGCCAGTGGTAAAGTTGTGGCGCTAAACTACCGGGAGGAGCGCCACAACTGAGTTGAAGCTTCTGGCTTCTCAATTTAAGAAATTTCATTTGTCAGATTAGGTGCTGATGTTCTACCCCTTGAGAGGATCACTGGCCACCAACGAAGACTGCGCCTTATCAGGCCAGCTTTTCATTCAAGAAATTGTACCGGAAGAATTCAGGTCATTGGGGGAATGATTCGCTGTGGCAGGTGGAGCTAGATCCCGCCTATGGTAGTGCCCTTATCTTTGCACCGCTGGACCAGCCACGAGTCATTCGAGCAGAGATGCCAAGCACCTTCTCGCTTCCGGAGGAGCACGTTCGCCATGTGCTGTAGGCAGCCCTTAATTTCAGCAAACCTTATGCTTAGTTCAACATGCGCCGCTTCAAGGTGTTCAAAGTGTCCAAGCACCCAAGCATGTGAGGATGGCAGGGAGGCAGCTGAAGTGGTGGAGGAATTGAAGGCAGAGACTGCTAAACTTCAGAAGGAGCCATGCATTGTGAGCGTGCTTGGTCCAGAGCTGATGGCCATCGCAGAGGACAGCAAACCCAAGCATGCAAATGTAAGCATCGTTTGGGCTTGAAGAGCCAGTCCTTCATGTTCAGGACGGCACTGAGATGTTCGTGCCGAAGGATGCTGGGCCTTGGCTCATCACGCTCACCATGATGGGTCCAGCAGACACCGCCTACGGATCCAATCTTCGAATTCAGCTGAAAGTGAACTCTGCGTGGCCAAAATCTCCTGCAGAAGTTCGAGTGCACAGCTGGATTCACAGCCCCTTCCTGAAACAAAACGGGGTGCTGGATGAGGCTGCACTGGCTGAGGCCGTGTCAGCTGCGGAGAGCGACTCACCTCTTTGCAAGACCGTGCGAGCAGCTAGGGCCTTACTTTGTGAGCCCACCAAATTCTGTGAAGAAGATGGGACAGAGTCGGCTGAGGATGCATGTGAGTCCAACCAGGAGCGTTTCCAGGTCATTTCGCAGTACAGCGCCATGCGTCAGCACGATTGGCTTTTTGACCCGCAGAAGGCTTACACAGCCGATAGCATTCATCCAGATTATTGGAAGGCAGTTTCCGTGAACACTCCGGAAGCGTGGTCATCTATTGTGACAACAGAAGTTGAGGAGGTATTCTCGGTTCCTTTGTTCAAGCCTGAGCTTTGTGAGGCGTTTGTGGAGGAGCTTGACAAGTTTCATGCTACGGGCCTTCCTGCACGAAGGCCAAACAGCATGAACAACTATGGCATTGTTGTCAATGAAATTGGCATGGAGCCAGCTTTGGATCAGCTTTGCCATTCTTTGCTACAGCCACTTGCACATTACCTCTTCCCTGGTGTTGGGTCCCAATTTGACCGACACCACACCTTTGTGGTCCGCTACAAGGTCGGGGAAGACTTAGGGTTGGATATGCACACAGACGATAGCGATGTGACCTTCAACATTTGTTTGGGCAAAACCTTCAAAGGCGCAGGCCTGCAGTTTTGTGGAAACCAAGGGTCTGCAAATCATCGGAAAGCAAGCCTCCAATATCAGCATAAGCTTGGCCACTGTGTGGTCCATCGTGGCCACCGCCGCCATGGTGCAGATGACATTACTGAAGGTGAGCGCCTCAATCTGATTGTATGGGCTCGAAGCTCGGATCTTCTTGGCATACTTTTTCTTTTTTATTTTATCATTTTTTCTTTAATCTTGTTTACTTGTATTTTACTTGGATTTCGTTGAATGACTTAGACGAACTTTGATAGTAACTTAAACTTAACCTTGTGATTGGTTTTCTGTTTCAATCCCCAGGGCGGAGGTAGTGGCCGTCTAAATAAATTTTCCCCAAACACTTAGTGTAAGGGTTGCATTCTACCGCGTTTGTGGAGCCACCAGGGAATATTGAATATCGAAGATCACGCCATTGGTCCAGATTCAATGTGCAAAGCCGCTCAACTGGCTACAAGCGCGAAAGCGGGCCTCCTGACCCAGTATGCCTCTCCTTTACACACGATCGCGACTACGGTGTTTTCAAGGCAGGAACAAGCTGTGAGCAAGCAAGGGTGAGTGTTTGATCAAGCGTACATGCAGGTTTCCAGGTTTGCTGGATATGTTGCTTGAGGTCTGGACTCCTGATATCAGCCTTTGAATTGGACTAGGGATGCCAATTAACGCGACATTCGTGTGAGGAGTATGTGGGCAGCAAACAGCGGCATCGTGGGAAAGGCTGGTGTCCTCCAGTTCATGCCGAGTACGATGGCTTCATGGGGGAGGAACCTTTGGATGATTAGCTTGCAAAGTGCATGGATGCCGTGCTGGAACCAACTGTACATACTCTAGATGCAGGGCTTGAGTGCGAAGACACGGCTTGCGTGCCATTCATGTCATATCATTTGCGAAGTTTCATAGGGAGCGTTGCTCCCAGCCAAGTAAGCAGTCTTTGTCGCAAAGACCGTCTGAGAAAAGAACCATTGTATGCCCAGAGGTGCTGGAAAAGCCCCCACATGGATGCCAAATTGAGCCTGTGCTTCTGTATAAGGATCATGTCGTTGGGCTGGCAGCACTTCTGGGAAGGGTGAACGAAGCAGTCGTTTGGCCCTTGCCACCTTGTACAGGCAACACTTTGGACAAAAAGGAGCCTTTTCTTGGCGCCTGCTTGCATGATGCTGCCCTTGCCAACGATATGATTCGTGAGTCGTGATGCACCGCGAAGTATTGATGCACCAAATCAAGAACATCATAGAACATCCAGCAGCTTGAAGTCATTGCTACGAAGCCAGCACGATTTTTGACCCGCTATGTTATGTTCTTACTAGCTTTGTGTGACCAGCCCTGACAAGAGTGACAGGTTTGAATGTCCACTAGCCAAACCCACTCTCAGCACCAGCAAGTTGCAAAGAGCTTTGTATGCAGAATACGGACAGCAACGTCAAGAGCACGGGGCAAGCATCGAAAAGGTCAAAAAGGCCTACGCCTCTTCAGAGCCATGGGGACTCCTTCAGGTGAATTCATTTCACAACCTGCATTTTCCTGTGCACCATGATCCCATGATGGAAAGTTCCAAAGACTCACACTGTAGAACAACTGCTTGATGCTCGTGAATGCTGGAAGGCTCAAAGAATCAAAACCTTTTTATGGACCGCGTCACAGCCGCATTAGAAGCTTGCCACCCGTTTGTCTGATCTGATTCGATGAAGAGTTCAGCCACTAAGGCCTGCTTGGAAAAGATGTGCGGTCCTTTGATGGAGGACATGAAAGCCGTGTGAGAGATTGATGTGGAAAATCCACACGGTGGAGATACGAGCAACCGTGAAAAGCTGTAGTGATGGTAGGGAGTTGATGTGGATTCGATGTCTTTACAGCCAAGCCAAGCCGCTTTTGACTGACAATCATGCAAATACAAAGCACACAGTCCTTGTGGACAACAGGAAAAGAATCCTTTCGAGGCCAAATGCGCCCGAAAGTCAGGAGCCTACATGGGTCCGGGCGTGGCTGGAGCCGACCTGCACTTCCAAGCTAGAGAGCCCAGCACCACAGCGAGAGCAGAGCAAGAGCAGCGCTTCCATATCTCGCACTGCTTCCAAGCAACTGAAAGCTGAGCATAGGCACAGAAAGAGAAAGAACGTCTACTGGAGAAAGCCCAGAGATCTGAGGAGACATGACATAAGAAGGATTTTTCAACTGTGGCAGATCGTGAAGAAGCCTTGAGAAAATCATAGAGGATGTGGATGCTAGCAGTTGCCGGCATTTGTACGCCTGACATGACACGCGCAGGAGGTAAATGAGTTTCGGAAGGCTTCTTCTGAACACAAGTGGGGGGCTCGCAAGTCTGGTTTCGGAGGGCTTCTATCTCACTAGATCTCATGAGACTTGGGTGCGGCTGTTGGTGGAACCTGGAGGATGACAGCTCCTTGGGAACTATGCTTGTGCATAATGCGAGGGTAACATAAAACTGCACTGGGCCATTATGTGGGAGTGACTCCACTAGCAGTAGACTTATTTTATAAGTAGACAACTCTCTTCATTCTTTGTGGTTCACTCTCTTCATTCTTTGTGGTTCACGGCAGAGAGTGGAGTCACATCCATGTCACTGACTCTCAGGATTGAGCGTTCGCTCAATAGAGTGGAGAAGGTTCCTTTGACGGCGACACTGGCACGCGACAATACGCGGTCATGTCGAGCAAGCGACAGCCTCACCACAGAGATCCCTTATGTCGACATGGTGAGACAAGCATCCCAAACGTTTGCTAGCGGTTTGGCAGCGGACCATACAAACAGTCTTTGTTGGTTTGTTCTCTCATATTTGAGCAGGAAGAGTCTAGTGCCAGAATGGAATAATGAAGATGTTTGAAATTGTTCTTCGGCCAGGTGCCAGTGGTTGGGCCTGAAGTTGGCCCACAGGTGCCTTCAGAACTCAAATCATACCGTCGTCAACATGGACAAGGGGCATGCATGTAGCCCACGGGCGAGGCCAAGAAAAGGATCCCAAACTTTGTCAAGCTCAAGAGCAAGGACTCCTTTGAGGATGTGAAGGAGGCAAAGCAAAGCCAGGACTGGATGCAGAGAGAGGGTGCCTACTGTGATGATTGCTTTCGAGGGCTCATGGCAGCCTACCCTGGTCTGAAAGGAGCCGGATAGCAAACGGCAGCGAACGGATGGTGCCCCTGTCTGGCGCATCAGTGTGTAGAGAGCGAAACAATCAAACAGCGAAGTTTCCTTTCAAACGTGTAGCCTATTCTAAGGAGATTGCTCTGGCCCTCTTTTTTCCATTGCATACTTTATCTCCTTGCAGCTTGTTCGTCCCTTCTCATTTTCCTTATAATTTGCTCCTCTCATTCACTCGTTTGATTTTTTCATATTTCCTCCGAACAGTTTACTGTTGGGGTTCTCAATGCTTTTAAGTGTGTCCGCCTCGTCTGGGCGAAGGCGTGGTCCGCCTTCTCACAACATCTCGAAACTCCTTAGTAACGATTTTATACATTTGTCTCCCAGTCTTGGCAAGTGCTCGGTAGCAACTCTTTATGTTTGTTTTCCAATCTGGGCCAGTCCAGGCAACTCTTGGGTTTTTGCCTTATGGCAACTCCTTGAGTAGCTGTTCTTCTCTCAGTCTGTGCCAGAGTGTCCACCTGGCAACTGAGTAGCAATTCTTTACATTTGTCTACTGCGTCTGCCTTCTGGCAACTGCCCAAGAGCAAATCTATACTGTACATTGATCTTCCAGTCTGGGTTAGTGTGTCTGCCTTCTGGCAACTCCTTAGAAGCATTTCTTTGGATTTGCCGCTTTGCCTACCTTCCGGCAGCAATTCTGTACATTTGTCTTCCAGTGTTCGCTAGGGTGTCTGCTGTATTCTTTATACATTCTTCTCTCAGTTGGCAAATTGTTTGCACCAGATCTTTGCCTCTGTCCGCCTGCCCGTGTCTGGATGCTGGGCGGAGATTTGGCGCCAGGAACGGATCGGCCAAAAAAGAAAGCTCCGACTGCCGCTGCTGTTTGGGGTCGATGCTGGTGTAATATACATTTGTTTCCCAGTCTGGGGTAATGTGTCCGCCTTTTGGCAGCTCCTTGGTAGCAAACTTTTGCATTTGCCTCCTAGTTTGGGCCAGTGTGTCCGCCATGTTGTGGCAAATCCCCAATAGCAATTCACAATATTGGACTCCCAGTCTGGGCTACTGCGTCCGCCTTCTACCAAAAGCATTAGCTTTGAGGTGCCTCTTTTCCGAGATGCGGATTTACCGCGGTCAACTGTTTGGGGACTACGGTGGTGAGAATTTCCTTTTGTCTCCGCCCTTTGCCTCATCTCATTGCCATTGGTGCCACTGTCGCCTTCTCAGTGGGTCTCCAAAAAAGTGCCGACTGCTTTGCTCGTTCCTTGGTCTCCGGCATGTGTGGCCCAAGCCGGAATGGCTTTTGAGCCTTCCCGGATTGCAGAAGTATGTGGCCAAGTCGGCATGCCAGATAGCGAGGCATCGACGAGGAAACAGGATATCGAACGAACATAGAAAAGCTGTCTGCAGAGACGTGACACATGGTAAGCTGCAGAAGCCAATCTTCCATTCTATTGCATAGTGTTTGTGCAGGCCAGCATCTATGTTGCGCATGGAGATCTAGAGCTCTTGCGCTTGTGCTGTTCTGCTCCAGTTCTAACAGAGCTTCAATCACAAGTGGCAGCCGCGCTGACAGAGCACGGTGAGCCCTCAAGTGCTTTGCCTTCATAACATTCTTGGTGGGGGGAGGCTTCAGCCCTTGTCAAAAGCAGCGTTCTTGGCCGCCCAAGGTGCCTTAAATATCAGATTGCTTTGGCGCCATAAGAGCGGTGAGACACATGTTTGCGATGATGCCTCTCTTGCAAAGGCAGGGGTTCAAGTCCACAGATATTTCTACCACTTCTCCTCGATTTGCTCGATTTGCGTTGCCCCGTCAGGCCTGGCAGCGGTCTGGATGTGATCAGGGGGGGTTGCTTGAAGCTCCAAGTTTGCCGAAATCTCAACCAAATCTCGACCGCATCGCTGGATAGTCGCACATGTATGACGTGTCGGCGAGAATTTTCGTCGAGAAACCAGCTCATGCGTCACCTTCAAAGCCTTGGTCACTATGGGGAGCAAGGTGAAGAGAACCTGTCTGGAATAAAGGCAGCGGAGGAAGGTGATGGTGCGGGAAAGGAGAAACATGAACAATCTGACTTTGCTAACCGAGTCAGGCGCAAAGCATGGGAACTGTACTACCAAGACCTCCCAAAGTTCGAACAGATCAAGGAACTCATGCAGACCTTTGTGCCGTACTGCTTCCGAACCGTGCCCACATCACCACTCGCCTCACTGGCACTTGCCAAATTGCAAGCTGAAACGGTGGTGAAAAGACCTGTAGGACTTGACGAGAGCTATTGTGACTGCTGGGCACTGGCTGAGAACGCTTCAGAGGAAGGTGTTTGGACCCACCTCCAGGCTGCACAAGAGTCAGGGGCAATCCAACGGCAAGAGGCTGCAAGCATGGTGCCTGTGATGCTATTGAAGGCCCGCCGTTGTACATACACCTATAAACAGTTTGTGCAGATTCCATTACGTGCTTTGACCTCTTCGCAGGTTCAGCCTCACCACTTTGTTGCGGACTTGTGTGCTGCACCAGCCTCCAAGACCTTACAGCTCCTGGATGTTATGAACCCAGGAGTGAGAACAGGCAAATCGCTGCTGGAGAAGCTGCTGTTGAGTCATTGAGCGTTGCTGATTTTGCTGTTGAGCCTGCACAATTGCAGGTGAAGTGCCCCAAGGCTTGCTGGTCGTGAACGACGATAACTGGGGAAGATGTGCGACAGCCTTGCGACGCACCCACCAGCATGCAAACTCTTCGCATTTGATGTGGCTTTGCGGCGATGCGCGAGAGGTTGCTTAGATGCAGAGGGTCTCCTTGAACTTGTCACATGGCAAGAATGCTTCCTCTTCGCCGCCATTGGGTATGAGGCCATCGCTATTAGGTTGGAAGCCATTGCTATTAGGTTCCTCAAAAGTCTTTTTTCTGTAAGGGTATGTTACCTTTGTTGGTTGGAGCTTCACTAAGTTCCCGACTCTACATGATCATTCGGATGGCCGCGTCCGCGGAGCCCGAAAGATCCGCTTTGATCGAGTCCTTTGTGATGTCCCTTGCTCAGGCGCCGACGGGGGCTCTCAGGATTTGGGATTTGCCAAGCGCTGAAAGCTGAGGTGATGGACGCTTACGCCGCAGTCCGAGTGGTTGGACATCTTGGCATCCGCGCTATATGCTACAGATGCACTATGTGTCTTGCAAGAGTTCTGATGCACACAAACCGGTTTCTGACTGTTACTGTTGATTCTCGACTTCAGAACTGTGAACCTTCTTTTTTCACTCTGGGAGGCAACAGGGTTCAGATTTGGTTCTGATATGCATTAATCGAGCGCGGCATGAGATTTCTTTCATGAGTCCACGCTGAGGTGCAGAGTGCGATTTTGAAGCGTGGTCTGACCATCTTAAAGCCTCAGGGGTGTTTGGTGTATTCTACGTGCAGCATGTCTCCGATTGAGAATGAGGCAGTTGTGGCTGCCGCTTTGGAAAAGCGACTTGAAAGCAAGTGAATGAGTAGGCTGCGCCGTGCACATTGCACTCTTTCGTGCTCCCCTCCCTGTCTTCTTGGACACAAAGTCGATGGTAGAATTGAACTCGCTCGAATTTTTGCTTGTTTTGTGTGTTATCCAAGGTTTGGGTGCCAGGTGCGCTTAGTTGCAGTGGAGCAGTGGAGCCATGCGCAGGGGCTCTCAACATGGAAAGTGCCGGCACCTGACTTCCAGAACTTCCGGTCCTTCTCGAAGGAAGAGGTTGACGAAGAACACGAGGAACTCTGGTGTCGAAACGGGGGCCCTCTCGCCCCAACGATGTTTCCGCCCAAAGATCCAGAGGTGGGCACAGTTGGGCAACTCCGTGTCATGCACTGAAGTATGGTCATTGTGCACGGCGTTGAAGTGCGTTTCGTCTTTCAGACCAGTTCTCTCCAGCAGATTGGTGCCCAAACAGCGATGTTGTAGGACAACAGATTGCGACACCTAGAAAGACTGAAAGTGATCATGCAACAGAATTGTTCACCATTGAGTGTGAAACTCTTGGCAGATCCGGGCTGCACTCTGCCATTGTATTCGCATCAGCCCTACGCATGGCGATTTTGGGGGCTTTTTCTGCGCACTGTTCGAAAAGTTGACCCCAGGGCCTGCAACGCTGCCTCCAGCGTCACCTGAATGCAAGAGAAAATGTCAAGTGAGCAGATTCCAGACTCGACATGTCCCGAGAAGGGATTGCTCAAGTGTGGCTTGATGGTCTTGGGCTGAGTGAGGCTGGGCGCGTCAAGAGCTGGAGAAGCACCGCGAAAAGCACAAGATGCGCCTTGAGACGAAACAAAGAAAGCAAGGGCTCCAAATCCAATACCGCCCCTTTTGGCGGCCACTAATGTCGCCCAGCTTGACTGGCTGGTGAATTGGTTCGGTCTTCTTGGTGGTGCGGATGAGGCCTGGCAGAATCAGGGCCTCAAACATTCTGCACTTCTGTGATTGCAGGCTTCCAAGGCTGGAGTTCGGCGTTTTCCCGTCGAGCTGGTTCGCAACGATCCAAATCTTAAGGAGCCTCGCTATTCACCCAACACATACAAATCATCAATGCTTATTGTATGCAAGCATGCAAGCGAAAGCACTCAGGGGATTCCTGGCCCTTGTTTTCGAAGGACGGCCTCATCATTGCAAGCCCAAGTTTGTGCCAGAAACTTACTTCTGATACCTTCTCCAGAGCTCTGATTCAATGCAGCCGTTCCAATGCTGCTGAAAGGTCGATTGGTGCTGAAACATGCCCGACCTCGAGTCCTCGCTGGTGGTATGCCCTTGCTTGCAGATGTGGCCGATGCTGACTTCGATGATATGATGCTTGGAGCAGTTGGTCAGAAGTTGACGCAGGGGCTTTTGAAGGCATTGCTTTAAGCGGTTGAGGTGCAGCCGTTTTGATATTGCCAATGTAGCAGCTCCAGCCTCTCGGCATTGCTTGGAAGTTTCTGATGCTTGCAAAAATGGACATGGGTGCAAATGAAGTTATTAGGTGAATAATGTACATAGTTCCGTGCTTTGCATTGCCCCGGTTTTTTGGAGCACTCGAAGTACATTCTCCAAGGTGCTAGGTGCTTGCGCCCCTTGACGGCATTTTGTTTATACCTGGCTGTGAGCTTGAGCTTGGTCAAGGCAACGAGGCGACGCGTCAATTTGGCTTGGACATTCTTCCTCCAATTGCTGCGGGGTGAGTCAGTTGCCATGAATGGTGATCCTGGCCCTGTGATTGTCATGTCGGATTTGGCATCTCAGATGCCTAGCCTGACCAACCTCAAAACACCAGTCAGTTCTGCAGGATTTGAACTGACTTTACCCTGCAGAAACTTTAAGGACGATTCGCAGCATAAAAAGCAATTGAGCAGCTTGGCTGATTGTTTGGACGCTTTGCCGTTTCCGGGTGAGGACGTTTGATGAGTTTGGTATAGTATTCTTGATGAAGCTGCATGACGAGGCATTTCTGCACGTGTGACAACCGGCCACACAGTGATCGCAACAATTGGAAGTGCGCAGCGCCATAGCATGCTGCGGGTTCTCTCAGGCACAACGTAGAGGTGGCCACGACCCTGAAGAGCCCAAAGCTTCATGAAGACAGATCGAAGCAGCTTTCATTGTGTCCAACTGTCAGACCTAGGATCTAGAGCAGCACTTGGACCCTTCGGCCGACAGTACTCTCGCGCTGCATCATCAGCAATGGCTGGACGAATCATCCTGGTGTTGGCTATCTTGACGACCAAGGCGACCTGTCTGGGTATACAGGCTTATCATGGCTTATCATCTGAATCTTATCATTTGCTTGACCGAATCCAATTGGACAAGGTTTGAGTTGGGGCCTTTGGTGGCCTTTGACTGTTTAAATTTGCACATGTTGGCACTGCCGTTGGCACTGCCGCTGGCACTGGCAGTTTCAAAAAGCTGCTTGAGTGATCACTTGGACTGTTGCCTCGGTGCGCTATGTCGTGGCCGCTACGTATTTGGTTCAGCTACCAGGTACCATGCCTCAGGCACCACTGACAGCGCCGAGCCCTCAGATTGCTCCCACTGTCCCCTTTGTTCACCAAGCAGCTCCTACATCAATCATTTTTGCAGCGGGTTTGGCTACGGACACGGAGGGATTAACACAAGGCATCTTGATAATTAGTCATAGTCTACTTTGTTGCCTTTAGGGCTGCCTCGTCACCGACCTCTTCCCCAGCTGGCGGATCTTTGCTTGGTGGCTACGAGTCGTCTGATGAGGGGGAGGCGCACTGTGCAATTTGGCGAGTGTTCGCAGCCCGCAGCCCGCAGCCGACTCCCGCGGCACTTGATTCGGCCCTGGAGGAGGAGGATGAGTAAGCAAGACCGCAGCCAAGGCCTGTGCGAGGTGGGTGGGTGCACAGGATATGCCAGACACTGCAGCCTGGCAGGCATAGAAGAGAATACCACCCACACGCTCGTTTGCAAAGCGCAAAGACTCAAGAGCAGCAACTCAGAGAGGAGCTGCAGAATTTACTCCTGGAGCGCGAGAAATGAAGGTATGGGACGACCTGACAAGCTGATGGAATTTACGTTAAGTTAAGTACTGTATGTTTAACCACATGTGTGAACCGAATCAGAGAATGTTTGAGTGGAACCTCATCGATGCGGATCAAGCAAGGAAGCCGTAGAATAGACCTCAAAAGGCAGGAGCACAGCGAAGCGTCCCCAACAGCCAATCATCACACCTCACCTCGATCTCAATGAAATGTTCTATTGGTATATATATATATGTGTGTGTGCGCCTACTATTGGTCATTATTGGCCACCTTGCCAGCAGAGCCCGCTGCCTCCTTGATGCAAGCACATTTGCATCCAGCAAAGCCCTCAGACTCAGGTCACGTGACCAGTTCTTCCGTTGTCCAGTGATGCAACCAGGTGACGTGTTTTGGGGTGCCCTTGGGGCCATTGCAGCGAACGCCTCGGACTGGAAGGCGTGGTTGGATGGCAAAGTGCATGAGCAACTGTAGGGTGTACCCCACATACAGCAAGTCAATGCAAGGCACAAGTTTTCAATGGTCCAGCCTTTTCCACATTTTCTTTGGGCAAACCCTTCTGTACTCAATTTCAGTTATTTCTTACTCAGCTGATTTGAAGGCCTCAGGCTCAGCGGTATCCAGTCCTTGCGCTTTTACAAAGATCTGCTTGCGGAGTCCTGGCACTTTCAGCAGGACGTGGATAATATATATATATATATACACATACAATCAAACAAACAGATACACATGTATATATATATATGTTAGTTAAGAACACATATCGACATGCATGCATGCGTGCGTGCGTGCGTGCGTGCGTACATCCATCCATCCATCCATCCATCCATCCATACATACATACATACATACATACATGGCTCAAGCCGTCTAAGCTCAAGCTGGCTGCCAATAAAGTCCAGCAAGTGCGGCAATCCCAAGCGCAACAGGTGCAGGAAGTACCACCTCAAGCACGGCCCAAGGACAACCCGCCGTACCAAGCTTTCTTTGCTCGCCATATAGGTGATCACCTTCCTCACTTTTGCGGACCCCTACGGCACCTGGCAGAGCTCGCCCTGGATAACCTCACCGGCATCCAGACAAGGCTCATCTATCCACCTTGCGCCTTGAAGACATCTTGACCTACCTGATCACTTTGCCCGTGACCCCTACTTCATAACGAACCTTCCAGGCCAGAACGTGATCGGTGCCACAGTCATGCAGTGGGGACGAAACTACATGACCTGCCGGCACCCAGATTGCCGAAATTGGATCTGGGAAGACAAGCTACGCCCAGGTACTCGATGCCGGAAGTGTGGCAACTGGTGGCAAACAAATGCCAGCACAGGCAAGGGGAAAGGACAAGGTCACGGACAGACCAAAGCCTATGGGCATGGCAAGACTTAACAAAGGAGCAAGCCACGACAGCAGAGCTCTTGGCCAGCACATGGGACGTTATCCCAGAAGGCATCCAGACCAAGCTCACAGCATTGGGCTATGGACCACCACCCCAGGAAGAACCCGAGCTGACGGAGTTCCTCAAGTCCCACATGACCGCGCTCTCGCAGGAGGTTCAGGCAGTGGTCACAAAACTGACCCAACCTCTGCCAGACACTGAAAAAGAGCTGGCACAAAAGCTGAAAGCGCAGGTGGGGGACTTGAAAACGGTGTCCATCAAGAAAAACCAGCTGCAGACACGTCTAGACCACATCAAGTCACAGTATGCAGCCATGCTTCAAGACATGCAAGACTTGCAAACGAAGTTGACTGATGGACAACAACGACTCAAGCAGCTGTCGGACCAGTACATGAAAGTCACCCAAACCCCAATGCCTACAGGGCTGGAACCAGAGGACACCAAGGAATTGCCAATACCCATGGCAGTTGAAACCTTTGTTACAAGTCTTGGGATCGATCTGACTGATGACCAGAGGACGCAACTTCATGGGCTCCTCAAACGGCCTAAGGCAGACGAAGAAGACATCAACAAGCGCAGGAAGACCGAAACCATCCCCACACCACCGGCCACACAGTGTGGGTAACACGCCAGGACCAGGACACCAACTCCCAGCGTTTCAGGTGCCAATTCCCTGGGAGGACTTTGAGGCACACACCAACTCACCGGTTTGCCGTGCTGCATCCGGCTCTCAATACCGCAGGGGACACCACCTTTTGACAGGAAGGCACACTCTCTTTTTCAAGCAGGGGAACAGCAAACTTATGGTGAAGGGGAAACCACCAGAGTTACACAAGCACAGGCATCCCAATCTCACAGGATGCACGATTTTGACCTCCTTTCAGCACCTGCATCACCAGCGGATGGACTCTCCAGCGGGGGCACCTGGAGATCAAGTCATAGCCATCAAAGGTGGTGCCAGCAACTTTCAGGACGACCACACTGGGAACCAGAGACAGCCCAGAATGCAAAACACCTATGCATCCACAACCGAGTGCATCCTCCAGAATCTCTCCATGACGGTGGGCGACCCAAGCTCCGGGTGCTTCGCAAATGCACCTTGGCGAGCCTTCACATGGACCTGTGGGCTTTTACAAGAAACCCACACAGAACCGTGGGGCACTTTGCATGCTGCAGTCCAGGAATCTCTTGAACTGGCAGAAGCTGTCGACATCCAAGTTTTGCCAGGACTACAACGACTCTGGAAGAAGCATGATCTCAACATCCAGGGAGATGCAAACCATTTCGTGAACGCACCCTGGAACCTCTCTCAGAGCAGAGCTTTCCACTACAGGTATGCAGAGATCAAGGCCGGAGGCTACCTGGCTGACCATGTTCAGGTACCGCTTCTCGTCGACTTCCCTCAAGACTGGCCTGAGAAAATTATGTTGCAAACATTGATGAATGGATGGGCCAATGAAGGACTTGGCCAATACCTCCTAGACGACAAAGCCATCTTGGTCACACACATCACCCGCAACACCACACTTGATGGAGTGGCCACGAAACACAAGAAGATCCTGAACCCGTATGGGACCTTCACCGTCCCAAGGTCGATGGACGGTTTTGCTAGAGCGTCCACTGAGTTCGTGCCAGCAGCTCTGATATGTCATAGAGGACCCAATCACGAAGCAGGTCACTACTTTGCAATCCTCATCTACCGGGATCTCATGTGGCTCGCTGACGACGGCAAGGCACCGGTGCACCTGCCTCACCTGACACCCCAACTAGCCAGTCAGGCGGTCCAGATCTGGGCTGTACACATAGCAACTTTCAGCACCACCCAACAGGTCATCCAACGACTCCCGTTGCCAGAAGAACCGGACTTTGATCCACCGCTCCACCCAAGTCCAGAGAAGAGACCGAGGCTCCAGCAAACCCACTGCAAAATCCACTATGCCAACATCACCAACTTTGGCAGACAGGTCATCGACTGGTACTGGACGAGAGACAGTGAACCCTACATCCTCGTCGAGACTCATCTTGACCCGCAACAACATGTGAACAAACTTGCCAGTACTACACCGTACGGGGCCGCACAGCTTTTGGAGTCCCAGCGTGGCCCAACAGTGACAATTCAGGCACCCATGGAGGCATACTGGTCCTTGGAGATCAATCCAGTGGCCTGACACCATTGGAAGCCTTTGCCCTCCACGGCTGTGGCTACCAGGCCTTCTTGTGGCAAGCCACCGAGCAGACCCCATCCTCATAGCCGGCGTCTACCTTCGAACCAATGAAGGCATCCAGAGCGAGATCAACGCCACCATCATCTCCAAGCTGCTAGCGCTCTTGCAGGCAACTAGCCACCCCTTCATTCTGATAGGGGACTGGCAAAACAAACCAAGTGCTATCTCCAGCACAGTCCTGCCCTCCAAATTTCATTTCGACATCTTGGCGCCTGATGTCAGCATGCTCTCAGGCAATGTCATCGACTTCAGCCTGATCCACACATCCCTCTCAGGTACAACAGCTCTGACCACCGAGTGGGCCGTGCCGTGGCGCCCTCATGCCCTACTCACACTGCACTTGGACTTGGAAGCAGCTACCAAAGAATTCCGACAAGTCCAATACTTTCCGCCCTTGCCAGCAGTGCCAGACATCGACTT